GAATATTTAAACTGAAAAAACGTTTAAAATATCACGGGGTTATATGGCAGGATAGGTTTGGATTCGTATTAACATAAATAAAAAATATCATTAATTAAATGCTATAACACGGGTTAAAATGTTTTTATTTTTTTGTTAGCATCACTAATATTATAAAACAGTATTGGAAAAATATCTTGAGAGATGGGAGACAGCGGCGACGGTAGGGTTTTGAGGCTGGATGCGGAGGATGCTACGATGATGGATATTGGGGACAAAAACAGGCCACCGGGAGATCCGGGAAATTCAAATATCTGCTTAAATACTCTATACTGTATCTGGAAAAATCATGATATTAAATTCACTCTGCATATTGAAGGGGGAGAGATGTTCTTTAATAAGGTTAGTCTAATGATGTCCCTTTGGGAAATTCAATTATCTGCTTGAGGACTATATATTGCTCGTTTTGGAGAGTAAGGCTTGTTTAATAATGTACAATTGGAATAATCAATGGTCTGCGTAAACTATAGTTCTTGCTGGACTGGGCCAGCATCATAAAACGATTCAATGATGCTCCAAATTGAGAAAATTCATTATTCTGCATATAGATTTGATTCTCAGCATATGCCTATGTATCTTACTGGGCTATGACATTAAAATTCAAGCTTCTGCATATAGATTCAATTTTCTGCTTATATCTGCCATTCAAAAGGCTTGTTGAAGTATGTCCCAAATGTCAAGAAATTCAAGTTGGGACTTTATGGATAACGAATTATCCTCTGTGCCTAGCTCTTGTAGCTCATCTAGTCAGCGATGGCACATCATTGAGCAACGCTTGGTTGGTTCGAGGCTCGAACTAGGCACTTAACGAGAGAGAATAATGTAAATTAATCATCTGTTCGTAGCTCTTGTAGCTCGGGAAAACGGCCATTTTCAACCCCAACTATTTGGGGGCGGGTTTTTCCAACCCAAACTAAGGCCTCCCGTCAATTTCTACCCAAACTCAAAACTAATTCAAATTCAAAACCTAAACTAATGAAAATTAGCCGATTTCAACACGACAGAAGACGGTGTTAGTTCGGGATTTAACGGCTGCTGAGTCAGCGATATCGTGGCATTGACGTGGCGGAAAAGCGGCCATTTTCAACCCCAACTATTTGGGGGCGGGTTTTTCCAACCCAAACTATTTGGGGGCGGGAAAAAATAAAACGTCGTCGTTTTCACTGACATGGCTTCTGGTCAATGAAAACGACGACGTTTTATTTTTTTCCCCTTCAAACAACGAAACGACGTCGTTCTAATTTTGGGGAAAAATTAAAATTAGGGTTCTTCATTTTCTCTCGAAACAGAAAAATGTTCGTCGATTTTATGAATTCACAGGCACTGTAAACGGAATCTGAAAGAAATGTAGCAATAGCAAGAAAAAGCAAAATTTGTTCCTAAATAGTTTGGTCTAGCAATTGTGTCCGTCTAAAGATTTTGTCTTTCTTCCTGCAGTGGAATCATTGTACAGACATTCTATCTCGAAACTTGTCTGAAATCAATTGTGTTTATAGTCTCGTGACCTGAATCATCATCACTATAATTCACAACAATTTCAATCCGCATAACAATTCATGAACTCTAAAGCTATGGTAACATTATTAAAACATACACAAACTACATTTCTATGTATCTAAAATCTTATAAATACTTTATAAATACCTTATAAATGCATTTTAAATACTTTTAAAAACCTTTAAAATATCTTGTAAAACCTTTGAAAAACCTTAAAAATTCTTTAAAATAACTTGTAAAACCTTTAAAAACACCTTATAAAATTTTATAAATACTTGGATCGAGTCTTCAAGTAGTAGTTACAATCCATAAGTACCTTATAAACCTAATAAAACTTTATAAAAATTTCAGATTTAAAAAGGGGCATTTTTTAAAATGGACATCTAAAAGGGGCATTTTTGAAAAGAGGCACACCAAAAGGGGTATTTTTAACAATTTCCCTTATTTCTAATGAAAAACTCTTCTATCTACCATTACTATTCTAATTTCCAAATAGAATTCTCAAATATTATTATTACACAGTTTTAATACTCGATAAGATTATTTTATTTTTATTTTTTAAGTTCAGGATAGTTTTTTTTATTATTTCAAATCACCTTAATTTTTTTCAATCTATGTTAATTTTCTAAACACTAATTAATATTTAGTTTTTCTTTTTTAGGTATTCACTTTTTAATTTAGAAAAAATTAATAATATAGAAAATATACTAATATATATTATATTATAATTATAAATAATAATATGTTCTAAATTCTTTTTATTTTTTAATCGGTACTCAAATTTTAAATGTCTATTTTCCAGAATGAATTGCTTTCTATTTTAAGTAAAAACCTTTAAATTTGGTTTTTTAACTCTTATTTTCTTTACTCTACTAAATAATTGTAACTCTTAAAAAATAAATTTTCTACCATTAAAATATATGATAAGTTTCTTTTTTCGTATCTCTAACTATCTAAAAATATTTACTCATTATATGTTAAAATATAATGATCTAATATTTATTCAATCTCTATTCAAAATTTTCATATTGTATATGATCTAATATACAATTTTTTTCGTTTTTTCATAATATTTCATTAATTTTTGTCAATTATTATTTTTATTTAATGTGTGAATTAGTTTTAGTTTAATTGTTTTTGTTTTAATAAATGAAATAGGTGGAGCCCACAAAAAATAAATTATGATGACATGGATGCTGATGTAGACACCCTAGATGGAGAGAAAACTCTCCCATTATATATATAGATTTGGTATTTATTAATTCTTACTTTCTTTATTCTACTAAATAATTGTAATTCTTAAAAGTGATTGTTGTTCCATTAAAATATATGATAAGTTTCCGTTTTCTTATCTCTAACTATTTAAAAATAATTACGCATTATATGTTAAGATATAATTATCTAATTTTATATTTCTCTAATCTCAATTCAAAAGTTTCATGTTTAAATATGAGTAAGATATAAAGTTTCTCCAACGTAGTAAAACGTTTCTCACATTTTTCACTACAATATTTTTCGTTATCTTCTATGATTCACTCGTCGTCTCCCAACATCTACTCTCTTTTTTCCTTAGATCATTTCTATTTTCTCCTTCATATCATTCGATACTCAATTTTTTTTTTTATAAGTTTCATGATCTTTTTATTAAATTGAACAGAAATCTGAGGAGATGTTTATCATAAAGCTTTTTTTTACCATGTTTTGGTGCATCTAAAATTGCTTTATAGAAAATAGATTTCATAGACTCATTCCTATTCGTAAACATAGGATTTCAACGTGAAATTTTGCACTTTATCTTGACCATTTGAAAAATACAAAAATCTCTTTCTACATATATAATTTAACGTATATTATGATTCTAGAAAGTATTCTTAATGTGACACTTACGAACTCATAAAAATTATTCTAATTTTAAAATACATTTATTTTAAAAAAAAAATCCTTTTTATTTCTAGGGGTTTTTGCAAAAATGCCACTTTTCAAAAATACCCCTTTTAAAAAACCTTATAAAAAATGCTCTTAAAAATATAAGATTTACCCAAATATGTATGTAATATTATTAAAACATACACAAACTACATTTCTACGTATCTAAAATCTTATAAATACTTTATAAATACCTTATAAATGCATTTTAAATACTTTTAAAAACCTTTAAAATATCTTGTAAAACCTTTGAAAAACCTTAAAAATTCTTTAAAATAACTTGTAAAACCTTTAAAAACACCTTATAAAATTTATAAATACTTGGATCGAGTCTTCAAGTAGTAGTTACAATCCACAAGTACCTTATAAACCTAATAAAACTTTATAAAAATTTCAGATTTAAAAAGGGGCATTTTTTAAAATGGACATCTAAAAGGGGCATTTTTGAAAAGAGGCACACCAAAAGGGGTATTTTTAACAATTTCCCTTATTTCTAATGAAAAACTCTTCTATCTACCATTACTATTCTAATTTCCAAATAGCATTCTCAAATATTAAAGGGGTTTTTTTTATTCTCAAATTTTAAATGTCTATTTTCCAGAAATGAATTGCTTTATATTTTAAGTAAAAACCTTTAAATTTGGTTTTTTAACTCTTATTTTCTTTACTCTACTAAATAATTGTAACTCTTAAAAAATAAATTTTCTACCAATAAAATATATGATAAGTTTATTTTTTCGTATCTCTAACTATTTAAAAATATTTACTCATTATATGTTAAAATATAATGATCTAATATTTATTCAATCTCTATTCAAAATTTTCATATTGTATATGATCTAATATACAATTTTTTTCGTTTTTTCATAATATTTCATTAATTTTTGTCAATTATTATTTTTATTTAATGTGTGAATTAGTTTTAGTTTAATTGTTTTTGTTTTAATAAATGAAATAGGTGGAGCCCACAAAAAAAAAAATTATGATGACATGGATGCTGATGTGGACACCCAATGGAGAGAAAACTCTCCCATTATATATATAGATTGTCTCTGTAATAGCTTATTACTTTATGTTACATTTTTTTTTTTGGTAATTATTACTTTATGTTACATTAAACCAGCGCAATGTTGGATTTTAGCATTGGTCTAAGAGCAATGGTAAGTACTAACTTTTTTCTTATGTGCATCTCTTATAGTGTTATTGGTTGTATGACTTGTGGAAAACTGTATGATTCTTTAATAGGAAAATTCTGCTATTTTGGTGACTTCTGGTGCACAACATGATTAGCTGAATGAGAATGTAAGTATGTGAATCCTATATATGTGTGTTTATAAGAGAAAGAGTTTCATTTTATAAGATTTCTTCTCTTTGTCAATATTATAGCAATGTTTTTGTCTTCAGAAAAGCTCTGGTTTCTCAGGTACGTCCTCTTTCTAAATTTTGGTGTATTTAAATCCCGAATCTTATTTCTTCTTGCAAGTTTTAATCATGGGAAGACTCTTAATCATAAATATGTTTCTCAAATCAGGACATCTTCAGTACCATTGGTCTAGTCATGAATAATCTATCTTTGGTACATGTTCTATTTCTCTGTTTTCAATATCTTACTGTTGGTGCTTGCATTATAATTTTTGTAGAACTAGAATTAGATGTGGTGCTGGAAATGTCTGATTCGTAGACCGAAATTCAGCCGCTTTTAATCAGGTAAAATTTGATTCCCCTAAATCATAGTTGTGATTCCTACTGAGATGTCATGATTTTTCAACATCATATGATGATTTTTCTTGGATTTACTCATTGAGATTTTATATCAAATTTGGAGGAGGTGAAGGTTCCTATATATCTCTCCAAGTCCACACGGCGCTACGGGGACTAGTGACATTGCACGTCGTCTTCAACACTCCTCTTTGCAAGTAAGTAGCCATGCATTTGAAACAAACATAACAAAAACACAAAAATGAAACAAACAAAAGCGAACTAATTAATTTTACCATTCATTCAAAGAAAAAGCTTACACATGAACACGTTAATATACTAACAAATTTAAATGCAACATAAATGCAAACAAGAATGTAAAAACTAACAAAAAACACTACAAACGAAAATGTTTACAAATACAAATTTATAAGACCTACGCAAACTTAAAATTCAAAGGCAAATGCAAAATATCAAAACCAAATGGAACCATTTTCTTAGGTGTACTTACTGAGTTTATATGTGATTCTTTAAGAATTTCTTGATGATCCTCTCTCAATCAATTTCTCGATGATCCTCACTCAATCCCACCCTAACATAAATACTAGTCAGTAATGCTCATTTACAAGCATGTGAGCCGTTAGAGGCCCTGTGCAGATTGATAATGATTAAATGTGGTCATTCTTTATTTTACTTATGGTAGAAGCGCTCTTTGCAAAGCCCACAAGACACTTGTTGGAATAGCTCAATCTTCGTGTTCTTATCGAGCCTTTTGGGCTCTCCCTCTCTTCTTGTTTTGATAGAGAATAGGATGATGTTGGGATTCATATGTATCAACACCCCCGCCTTTGAAAGTAACCTTATCCTCAAGGTTGAAACGAAGAAAATGACTTTTGATGACATTCTTTACATTCCAAAGAACACTTGTAATCCGGAAGGCCCTTCCACTCGATGAGTACTTCCTCAAGGTATCGAAATCCATACTTCTTTCCTTTACCTTCTTTTTGATTTTACATCACCACTTTAGTTCGACTATGGATTCGATTATAATCTGTTGAGTTCAGATATCGCAAAATAATTAACAATCTTGGTTCACGCTTAAACCATAAGAACCAAGATTGTTAGTGCCGTAAAAAACAAACCGTTTCTAGTTAAAAAAAAAAAAAAAAAAGATTGTAACCTTAAACCAAAAGAGAAAGCAGCAAAAAAGGAATAAGGACTATAACCAACATAACTTTCTTTAAATATCTGAAATCACACAAACCTTCCACTTTTTCTACTAACAAAATTTGTCAACAACGACAAACTTAAAAGAAATACAAAATTGCTTTCTACTCATCTTCCTCCTCTGTTCTTACTCTTGTTTCTGTAAAAACGCTTAATTGTAAAGGCAAAGGGAATGAAAATTTGAAATTGAGAACCCACTTCTCCTAGATTTTTTCTTTTTGGCAGTATTTTTGTGTTTTATTTTTAGTTCTTGGGTCATTATTTCGTAGAGTAAGTCTGAGATCCCACCACTTTCATCAAGATTTACGACAAAATTTGAAATAAAGATTAACAAGAGATGACACAAGTATGTCTTAGAAAAATATCTGGCACCATATGCATTATACGCTGCAGTCATTCTAGTTTACAGTTTGGTTTTGGTTCAGTTTTTCCGGTTTTCAGTTTTATCGGTTCTATAGAAACTTGAATTACTGAATAAGATAAACCGATTTGTAATTGATTTTAGTTTGGTTTTGGTATATTGACAAGATGCAGTTTGGTTTCGATTTAACCATATTGATTTTGTTCGGTTTGGTTTTTTAATTGAATCTTTATTCTTACAGGGAGTTGGTGAAACATTTGGGAGAGTGACAATCGAAGCAATGGCTTATGGACTTGCAGTGGTGGGAACAGATGCAGGAGGAGCAAAAGAGATCGTGCAGCACAATGTGACCGGTTTACTTCACTCAATGGGACGATCCGGTAACAAAGAATTAATCTCTTGTTGCTACTTAGAAATCCAGAAACGAGGCTACGATTAGGGAGTGAAGGACGCAAAATGGTTGAGAAAATGTACATGAAGCAACATATGTACAATCGATTCGTTGATGTTCTTATCAAATGCATGAGACCATAAAAAACACTTGGATTTACCAAAAAATTTAGGTTAAAAAACGAAAATTTTCAAGCTATTTTTTGGAGTTATTGAATTTTTAGGATTTTATTTTCCTATATTCTGGATAGTAATTTAGTTGGCAGAGCTGACGACTTTATTTACATGAACAAACATGTTATTTGATCAATACAAAGGTTCACGGTTTTGAAAAAAAAAAATGTATACAATGATGCTTATTTATAGCATTAAAAGATAAATACTTCAAAATCTAAAGAACTGTATATATTTTTGCAAACTTTTTTAAAAATTTGATACTTAAAAATCAATGAATAAATATAACTTAATATAGTATATTTTCCTCTGAAATTAAACATGATTATATATTATTATATTACATATGTATCAAACTAATAAATTGCTCAAAATAAATAAAACTAGTAGAAATAAACGGAAAGTTAGAATTACGTGTTTTTTGGTCACAGTCTTAGCTTATATTAATTCCTTTTCGACAATTCTTTTAAACCAGATGACTAAAACATATGTTAGATGTGGTCCCTATCTCTTTTTGTGATCAGCACACAGATTCATATGATCATATTTTGATTTTGAAAATAGGGTTCAACAATATTTTCGATTTTGATCAATTTAACAAATAATATCATACTAGGAAATTGCAATTATAATGCTTCTTGAATCAAAAACACAAAGCGGAAGTTAGCGTGGAAAAGGAAATGTACGATATCAAATGTAGTCCACAACTCACAACGTACGTACGTTAATGACATTTTTGTTTGTCTTTGTGATTTTTTATTTAAATTGATTACACCTATTTTTTTCTGATCATCTACAGACTAAATAAACAACCCTATATTTGACTCATTTTTTTATTTGTTAGGGGTTCTCTATAATAATAACTGGAACTTGAAAGAAAAAAAAACGTTTTTTTCCCCTTAGAACCCACCAAAATGTGCGAAGGAAGAATCACAACTCAACAAAAGGAATAATCAAACTTCAAGGTAGCTTTCAGCTTTCGACATCACACGTATTGAAGGTAGTTGTGTGACTTTATAAAAAGAGGAAAAAAAGACGGAAATTTCTTTGAGTGTGGACCACATTCATGACTCACTTAATCATCTGAATTACTCATAGTCAAGATTCTCTTTTTTTGTGGTTTCCTTAAACTGACTCGATATTAATTAAATAATTATTTCTTACACGCCATTCTTTTCAAACATGAATAATATAAGAACTAAGCCAAGATGAACGTACATTAATACACCAATATTTGGTAATGAGAATATGTGATTAGATGATAGATAGATATATGCATATTACATCTATACAATTTAGCTTTTTAATTGTTTAATTTCTGTTTTCTATAAAAAAATTCCAATTTAATCATTTTCCATTTTAATTAATAGAACTAGAATAGAATGATCAGAAACAAACTATGATCATAAGAAACCAAAATTAGGAAGAAATAAGACATTACGTATATTGGTTGCAGATTAATCTATTTTCTTGCAATTAATTGTTAGTTTTTTTTCTTTCCTGATTCTTCACTTTTTCTATTGGTGTTATCAAGTTGTGGTAACCTTTTTCAAAATAGCTAAAAATGCTATATAATAAAGTATTTGGTTTTTGTCAAGCCAGTTTTTAATTTCAAACATAAGACTAATATAGAAGCCAAAGATTGAACGTTAATTAGCATAACAACTTGATAATGAGAACTTTAAAATATGAGATTTTTGATGAAAAATATAGGCATCACTAATATGTATGCTATTTACCTTCTTTTTTTTCTTGTTCAATTTCCCAGTCCTATGCAAATTTACGTCAATCCTTACCATTGTCTAGAATTAGAAAGATAAAATAAATAGGATAATATCTTCATTTTGCAATGAACCATCTTTTATTGGCTTCCTTTATTAATTAGTCACCCACGAACATCACGACTTTTTGATATATTACCCTCCTAGCCTCCTTCTAACCTTGTTCATATATATTGTTGCTTGGGTTGGTTCAGCTTCTAGAAACACCGAACTCAATATCTTTGCAAGTTGGTCCTCCAAGCTTATGTCTATGAGATTTGGAAGGAAAAGAATTCTATATTTTACCTTCTTTTTCTAAGCAAATTAATAATCAGGTTTTAAGGTAGCTTTTGGTTTTCGATAACCCACGTATTAGAGATTTAAAGATAGTTGTGTGACTTAAAAGTTGTACGCGTAGTCAAGAGTCTCTTTTAATTGCTTTGTGGTTTCCTTAATTACTCAATACTAGTTATGGGATTCATTGTTGTTAGTATTTTGCCTACTTTTATGTATTCTTTGCGTTCGGACCACACTCATGCCTTAATTAAAAATTACTTTGACCAAGTGACTCAGTTACTCTTTTTCCTTTTGAGTTTGGATGAGTCACTTAGTCATTCGAAACTACTCATCCCATATAAATTTCTTGTGGGCGTACTCAGTCTTTTTTCTTTGTGGTTTTCTCTGTTTAAATCTCTAATAATTACGGGATATATAGCTGTTATAGTTTTGTCAAAATGTGTATACCAACTAAACTTAAACTATTTAGTAAAAAATTTCATATTTACATGCGTAGGTCGGTAGGTGCATGCCTTACTATATAGTATTAATAAAATAAATTATTTTATAGGGTTGTAAGATCCAACAGTAGTCTACGTGTAAAATTTCTATCAATATGAGATTCATAGAAATTGTAATTTTCAAAGTATGTATAGACGTATAGTTGTTTACTAATTAAACTGAAACTAAAAACAAATTGTATATTGGTTTTGAAGATCCAGCAGTAGTACACTGTAGATATCATAAGTTCAATGTCAATGAGACGTATGATTTCGATGATATCATAAGTTCAATTTCCTTTTTATCTATTTCATAGAATTAATTAGAAAGAAAACAATAAATTATTCCCTAGGTCACCTTGTTCAAAAACGCGGCCAAGGCGGCCGATTACGCGGCGGATAGTCGCTCGGCGGCAAGGGACCGCCGGGATTAGGCTAAAATCGGATCAAAAATCGGAAATCTTGAAAAACTTGATTTTTTTTGTTCTTTTAAAGGTTGAAAATGATAGATACTTGATGGATCTAACATATCTAGCAATAAACACTAAGAAAACAAAAAGAAATGATGAAAACTAAGGAAAAAATCAAGTAACAGCGGATTTAGGGTTGCAGATCTCTCATTTTCTAAAGGTAGAAGATGAGGGTATTTTGATAATTTAATACCAATTAAACGTAAAATGAACAAAATAGACATAAATGTCACTGGAACTACTCGAACTCCCCACCCGTATAAGAGGAACCGCCCTTAAAACCACTGGACCAACTTGCGTTTTTGATTTGATTTCCATACGAATCATATATATACAATATATAAGTAAAAAATATAGAAAACTAATCCCGATTAATCCCCGTTTAATCTCCGATTTTTCGGCTAGGTGCTAGGCCCAGCTCGAGCGCCCGACTAACGCCTAGCGATTTTTTGAACAAGGCCTAGGTGTAGTTGCACAAATTGATAATGAAACATCTGAATTAGGTTTCCCTCATTAATTAGTGACCGACCACCGACCAAAATATTTGACATTTTGATTTAGTGAAATAGAAAAAGAAATGACATTTTTTTTAATCTCTCACATCATGTTTTTGCTTTTTTGGGTGTATAAAATACACATTGCTGCTCACATATTTTCACCATCACTGGTTTTTCGAAACAGCTAGCTCTCAAAATACAGAACAAAAGATCTGCTGAGCATTATAAAAACTATTCAAGTTTTTCTCATCAAATTAAACATGGCGGCTTCTAGTATGTCTTGTTCCCTTCTTGATTTTTCATGTTATGTTAGTTTATTGATTCTTCTTCTTTTCTTGTTGTTATTGTGTGGTTAATTGAAATCTCCAACAAGTTATTTTCAACAAAGGCATTATTTTGTTGATTTTCATGTTTATGTTTTTTTTTAAAAAAAATCTCCAGGCAACTCTCGCTCTTTCTAATGGCTTTTTTTTTTTTTTTTGGTCCTAGAAATTTGTATCAAAACTTTTGTAAACCTCAAGTTCCTTTTGGTAATATAATTAAAATTTTATTAAAAGAAAATTGTTATGGTGCAAGTTGATTTTTACTGTGGTTTTTATTATGTTGTGGGCTATTATTCTCAAACAATTTTGTAAGGTTAATGACGTTGTCTTATGGTAAAATCTTCGCAGGCAGTACAAATGTACCTGCTCAACAAGGAGACCAAAGGGTCACTATAGTATGGCTGCATGATAAGGATGGTCATTTTTTTTTTTTTTTTTTAGGATGGTCATTTTCTTGAGTACGTAACGTTTATATCACATGACTTGTTTTATTTTATTACATATTATATCGTTCATTTCTTCTGAATCCAAGTTATGAAAGACTTTTTTCCGTCTCACAAAAATGGAATATTATTCTGTGCATGTTTTGTAAATTAACCATAGATAAACCATCTTTTTGCTTCTTAACTCTTATTTTTATTTGTATTGAAATTGTTTTATCTCATTCTATTTATTATTTTCTGTTTGCAGTTCAGTTAACTTTGTGAAAAGTTTAAAACTTAAAAATGTAAGAACATTCTATGCTGCTGAAATACACTATACTAGCTAGCCACTCATTTTGTTAACAACATGAATAATTATTTTACATACAGGTCATATATGTGGATATGTCCACCAGTCGTTTACAGAAATACATGTGAGATGAGTTAGCTTATTATACTCAGTTTTTCTTGTAAACATTATGTGATGTCATTAAAGTATATATTACTAGAAATGCGTCTAAACAGTTAATATGGTGGCTTTATTGAATCAGCATACGACTTCGGATCTAATATCAAACAAGATGATCGAGAGGCAATAGATTCCGCAGCTAAACTTGTTGCTGGCTTTTTGTTGGCTGAACCACTAAATGGTAAATTGCACCATATTATTCTTTGGCTTATTTAATTATTATTTTTGTTTTTAAAATGGAAAAGTTTTTGCACTCAGGTTTTTTAATATTGTTATAAACATTAAAATATATATATAATTATTTTACCCGAAATTTTTATTTTGTTTTTGTTTTCTCTAGAAAATCTTTAAAAATATAAAGTACTGTTAGGTTTTCTTTTTCTACACTACACATCTAACATGTTACGTAATATGCATCAGATCTCTAGCTAATTATATTAATCACTAAATTTTTGTATTTTGATGTAGTCGTAAAAGGAGTAGGAGGTTTTGGCATGGGTGCAGTAGTTGCTCTCCAGTTTGCAACAAATTGTGCTCTTGGACATTATCCTTTAAGTCCCCGAGTTGTTGTTGGAATTAATGGATGGCTGTCTATTGCCGGGTATCATCTTTTAGCACTCAATCATTTATCTCTATAAAGTTTTTAAACATAACTTAACGTTACGTTACATATCCCATTGACTGATGAAAGACAACCTTGCATGCAGGAGCATATATACAAAGCAGTATAGAATCTACAGTTGGGGCTGTAGCTCGTGCTGCGCAACAGAAAATCTTATTTTCACGTCCAACAGGTAATTTATGTATCTATTTTCCTCTTAAGATAATAATGATCACGTACGAGACAATATACTAACTCTTTGTGATTGTACGTGTCGCAGACGATCGTATACTTCCTTACACCAGTGAAAAAGAGGTTGTTGACTCCCTTAACGAGGCTGGCTTCGGAGAAGTCTACTTCTTACCACTCTCAAGGTATATAAACATCAATTATTTTACGAATTAGCTTTGCTCTATATACCATTTTTTGTTTGAACATATTTGTCTAAGTTTCTTGGGTTATGCCAATGTGTAGGCTTGAACCGATTGTTCCTGACACTCCTAGCGTAACGAGTCTCGTCAAGCTCTGGTTGACTCTGAATCTCCCAATCAGCGAATATTCTGCACAATAAAGACCGCGCGTTATCTAGTGATTTATTATCGTCGTTTGTGTTTTTCTTTGTTATGAGTAATTCAGTGTGACTCATGAATAAGTTAATTATCTGATATTTAGACTTTATGGCAATTTGTTTTTCCTTCTTGTTTCGTCACCTTTTCAGTTGGTACTATCAAGTTGTGGTAACTTTTTATTTATAAATAAATAAATCTTACTTACTATAATTAAGAAGCCAAATATTAACGTAAATTAATATTTGGTATAATGAGAATATGTGATTAAGACGATAATATATGCATATTATACGTTGTATAATCTAGCTTTATTAGTTCCTTTTTTTTATTTGATAAAATAAATTATTAATTTCCTATTTCTCTATACAAATTTTTAATTCAATAATTTACCATGTTAATTAATAGAACTAGAACTAGATTAAGAATGAGAAAGGAATTATCAAAAGAAAAGTAGAATTAGGAAGAAATAAGACATTGGGTATATGGTTGCAGATTAATCTATTGTTTGTAATTAAACATTTCTTATTGTTTTTCCTCTTGATTTTCACTTTTTCTGTTGGTCTTATCAACTTGTGGTAACCAGCTTTTTCAAAATAGCAAAAAAGGAGTATTTCGTTTTTGTCAAGCCACTTATTTCAAACGTGAGAGAGTAATATTGCAGGAAGCAAAAGATGGAACGTAAATTAGTACACCAATTTGGTAATGAGAATATATATGTGATTTTGTACGTATACTATTTAGCATTATTCTTCTTGTTCGATTCCCTTGTCATATGCAAAGTTAAGTTACGTTAATCAGTTTACCATTTAACAGAATAAAAGATAAAAAGAAATACAACACTAATATTAGCAGATATTGATAATTCGTTCTTGCAAATGAACTTCATATTGGTTTCCTTCGTTAATTAGTGACCAACCAAACATTTGACATTTTGACTGAGAGAGAGCGAGAGTGAACGTGTGTATACTCCTTGCAAATTTAAAATTTCTACCTCACATTCAGGTCCGGTAAGGCAAACCACCGAAGCCACCGATTAGGGTCTCAAAATTTGAGGGCCTTTTTACCTAAAAATTTGTTAAGTTTTCTTATATACAATAATTTTTGTAGAGCCTTTTAAAAATATTTTGGGCTTTTAGAGACAACTACAACATTCTTTTAATGGTAAAAATCTAATTTAAAATAAAAAAAATTTTATGGGCTTTAATTTTGTTTAGGGCACCCAAATTTACCGGGCCGGCACTGCTCACATTACCTTCTTAGTGTATATAAATCTCAAATATTCATTTCTTAATCTTTCTCAAATATTACGCTCTTCTAAGCAATTAAAAATATTTTTTCTTTTCATGGTCACAACTCTCACAACAATACTTGACTTTTGAAGTAAATTCATTGTTGGCTAGTAGACGAATATTATCATTTGTATACAATATGCTTACAATTTGTGAATTATAAAATGGGCTCAATATGGGATCTGATTTTCATTTAAAGCCCAACACAATTAATGAGACCACCGCCTTTAGATTTCATAACGTTCACTTGTAGCGATCTTTTGCTTTTCAAAATGTTCTCTCGTAACTGCAAATTTCTTCTTTGCATCGACACCTAAAATTTTCTTCCTTTTTTTTGAACAACACCAAATTTCTTCCAAGGCCATCAAATATCAACGCCAGGTTTTGTTTGTTTATTTTGTTCTTTTGAATTACTTAAAAGTCTTTTTTCCTTGTCGAATTTGTGTTTATTGTTTACCAAAATCTCGCTTTTGGATTAGAGTGTTGCTTCGATTTTTGAGTTTCAAAGATTTATGATTTGAATTTTTTTTTATCAAGAAAATCCAAAAGCTCTCCTTTTTTTGCCATTGCGTAATACATCTTAGGGTTTCTAATTATAATATAAGCTCTATAAATATGATTTCACTAACAAATGAAATCTCACATCACTATTTTACCTTTTATCACGATAAAGAAATCCTTCCAAAAATCAATGGCTCATTGGCTCCTTTATTTGTCATTCTCTTCCGTCTCTTTGCTTCTCACTTAACCTATGAAAGCAAACAAAGACTTTCTTGAGTAAGTAACTCAAGTCTCTATATTTAACTTCATGATTGTTAGATTCTGCACTTACTTATGTTTTTTTTTTTTTTTCTTAGAATAACCCAAAACTATTTGGCCTTAAACGGTTGTACTTGACAAATATGTATCACTCAGTCAGCGCCGAAACTTCTTGAAATCACCTGAGAAGTCGGGTAACGACGCTTGAAACCGAAAGTGATAAAGAAGAGTCGCATGATTTTTCAAGAAACTTGCAGAACCTTCTCTCTCTTATCCTCTTCCCTACCCCTACTCTCTCCCTATATATACGTGATCGCACCAAAGCTTCAGAATCAGTAAAGAGCATAAGACTTCAAAGCAAAACAAAACAAAACAAAACAGAGCAAACGCAAAGAATATCGTAATCATAGAAACCATGTCTCTAATCTCAAGCTTTTTCGGAGGCAGAAGAACAAACGTGTTCGACCCATTCTCGCTTGACGTTTGGGATCCGTTCGACCTTCAGAGCGGGCAAACGCACCCGCCAAGGACGTCGCAGCGTTCACAAACGCCCTGGGGCGCACGTGTTCAAGGCTGACTTGCCTGGACTTAAGAAAGAAGAAGTGAAGGTGGAGGTTGAAGATGGTAACATACTTCAGATAAGCGCAGAAAGGAGCAGTGAGAATGAAGAGAAGAGTGACAAGTGCCACCGTGTGGAGAGGTCGAGCGGGAAGTTCATGAGGAGGTTTAGGTTACCGGAGAACGCCAAGATGGAGGAAGTGAAGGCGAGTATGGAGAATGGTGTGTTGTCGGTTTTGGTTCCGAAAGTGCCAGAGAGGAAGCCTGAGGTGAAGTCTATTGACATTTCCGGCTAAAAGGGAGTGTTGGAAGTTGGGAAGTTGGAGAGAAAAATGTGTGATGCTGTGAAATAAATGTGGTGTGCGTGTGTGTTCTTTTTTCTCTTCTCTTTCCCCTTTAATCTTGGATCTAGCTGTATCAAAATCTTAATAAAAGAGTTTTAAAATATAGTATCTGCCCACTGATAATCATCCAAATAAAGTCGTAACTGGATTCAACATCCTACTGTCTAAGTTTTAGTGTAGCATATCAGCGGAACACTTGAGGAAACTGTAAGATCAAAAACTTTTTGGGATCAGGATTGTTGTGGCTGTGAGTCGCCCAAGACAAGGCTTCTAAGAACTGGCATTTGGCTCTCGAGGAGTTCCCGTTTGGTCAGGATTCTGTCAGAGGAGCAGTCATGTTCCTGTACATGTGAATGGAACATCTTAAGAGATCATCCACTATAGAGATTAATTTAATTCGTTGCATCTCGAGTGAATATATGTTGTCTACAAAAAGGAGAAGGATGTAAACCTCTCCGGTTGAAGCCGACATTAGAGCAAGAAGAGTTACAGTTGCTGTCTGGTAATCGGTCAAAGTTTTGTACGCAGATTCATCGAGTTTATCCTACAAGGTTGAAATAGACATAAGACTAACATCTAATACAAAGTAAACAGACGCTAATTAAGTTAGGGGGCGACAAAAACAGGAATGTGTCCTGCTTGCACCCCATACTAGATGTTCATTTCATGAATATAAGTTGGTTGATCGAGAGAGAAGATAGATTACATTTTCAACTAGTGACTGTCTATCCAACGTAGTAATACCTTCAAGTGTGAAATAGCTGCAGCAATAGCTCTGCCTGGGGCTTGTAAAGCTTTATTGTGAGCCTGTCAACAATTTTCCCCCGTTAATTGAGTTCTGAATATTGAGCATACAGTACAGTTACACTCACATGGATTTATATACCTTGATATAAAGGAGGGAGACAACTTTAGCGAGAAGTGCAACAGGGTCTGATTCGGTAGAAACTTGAGATGTCAAATCCCAAGTACAAAGAACATCCCCAAGCGATGAAAAGCAGTGATCCAGAATCATACACTAACATATTGAAACAGCGATAGGGTGGTACATACCTTACCGTATGCATGTAGGAGCGTCCTTTCCAGTTCCTTGTCAAGCTTTTTCAAGACCAATCCACTGCACAATTTAAGTTAACATTTAGTCGAAAGCCCGTAGAAAGCAAAACCAATTTGCTTAAGAGAGATCGGATCTTGATAAATAATAATTATCGTACCTTTCCTCTGCCAAGTCTCTGAAGGTGGTCATGAAAGCGTCTACGCGCTGAAATACAGATAATTCCATCAATGAGTTTAGTTTGCATTCACGGGAAAGAGTGATTAACTAGGTGGCAGAAAATACGTGAAACAGACATTTTAATGTACTGGTCAGGCCTAAATAATAGTAACAACTCCCCTCTGATCCTATAGGTATTAAAAATTTTCACATCGTTACGATCACCAACTCCCATTAAATTTCTAATAGAACAAGCAACTTTTAGACAGTACATAATCAACATGGTAAGCCCAAGGGAAAAGGAAAAAAGAGCGACGAACATCAGCTGGCATTGTTCAAGTGCAACAATAAAGTATCACGTTAGAGTAGTGATCAAATTTGCATATGAGGGCTGTTCTTTCAGAAGAGTCAAGCAAAACTGTATCTTGAGTTTTGGAGTCTCCAACTTCAGTACCATTCTTCAATTTGTTGAGGATGTCCTGTTTTGAAAATCGAAGCTTGATCAGTGAAATCAGTAAGTAGATGACCTTAGAAACTCCACTTTATTTTCGACTTACCAAGTCATGAAGAAGTGTATCAGCAATTGTGGCTGTTGTTGTTCTCAGAAGATGCCTATGTAAAACAACCTAGGCGCCAGAAGAAAACAAATTGTTACACTATCTTCTTTAACTTTAAGTAGCAAGTGCGGCTTACAAAATGAACTGAAAGTACTTACTGAGGTCGATTGGTCATCTTCAAATAGCTCAAGTGCTTTTTCGTAAAGTTGCATATTTAGGAAAGACTGCCAAAAGGAAAATTGATAAAAAAAAAAAAAAAGGTCATAAGATAATATCATGCTGGCTGATAATGCTGAATAACATCTCCAAGATATCGGTCGCCACACAAAAGTAAAGCTATAGTTGAAGCAGCTGGGTCCAACCTCATCAAGCTTTTTCTGAAGATTTTCCATCAAGCGTTTCATTCTATCTGCATTTTCTGTGAAGATTTTCTTTCTTCTCTCCTTTAGTGAATTAATGAGCATCGGTCTCATAAGATCAGCCAAATGCTTAAGAATTGAATCTGGGTTCTCCATACCTGCCAGAAGCAACATAGTTTCTGTCACATTGACGATCGCTACATAATTTTTTATGCACACGTAAAGAAAGACTTTCTCAGAGTTACCTTCATCTTCAAACTCAGGCACAAAGTCGACGATCTTTTTCATCACCCACTCGTCTGGCGGGATAAAGTTATTACCTTCTTGCGCCTTAACGGACTCTTTCTTGCCTCCTGCTTTCGAATCCAACTTCTGCGACGACGACGATATTGAAGTTAAACTTGATTTTGGTTTAAGCTTAATTATGGGTTTATAATTCAATATTCTATATTGGATAAAACCCAAAGTTAAGCCTAAGTTCTAGATTTCTCTAGAGCATCATAGAAAAATCATCACCTCCTTAAATGTTCTAGAGAATTCTATTAGATAGATATTTAGAAAATTATGTAGAATAATCTAGAAGTTTGTAAGATAAAATCTAGATATTTTAGTAGAGTTATAGAGATGATGGTAGAATAATCTAGAGACTTTGTAAGCTAACCTTGGAGGCTATAAATACCTCCTCACCCCCCTCATTTGTAACGAAGTTGAACAAGTGAATAAAAAGAAAGTTCAAATAAAAGAACACTCTTTAAAAGTTCTCTAAGTCTCTCCAAAAGTCTTTCAAGTAGTCTCTAATTGTTCTTCCAAATTTTCTATCATACTTAGAGGGTTTCTTATCTTGATTATATCGAGTTTCTCGGGTATTACGGTCTTGGGCTAGTGCTAAGCACTATCGAGTTTGGTTTCTTTACATGGTATCAGAGCCATTCTAATCTTGTGCTCTTCAAGATCGGGATTATAGGATAACTCGGATCTACTCTAAGTATGGAATCTATGGGTCGTGTTGTTGGATTGGGAATGGAGATCTTAAACCAATCTAACTACCGGTTATGGAAGTCATGTATGGAGTCATACTTGGTTAGTGAGGACTTATGGGATGTCGTCGGCGGAAGTAATACTTCACCACCTACCGGAGATGCTGCAACCGCGGAAGCGACAAAGGAGTGGACACGTAAAAATGCCAAGGCGGAGTTTGCTTTAAAGAGGTCAATATCCTCAGGAGTATTTGAGCATGTCTCAAGGTGCACATCCGCTAGTTCAATTTGGCAAGCGTTAGATCGACTGTTCAACAAGAAGAATGAAGCTCGTCTACAATTGTTAGAAAACGAGTTGGCAAATGCGAAGCAGGGGGAGTCTTCAATCTCGGAGTTTTTCATCAAGGTAAAGAACCTTTGCTCTGAGATAAATAGTCTTAATCCGGAGGAATCAATCTCGGATGCTCGGTTGAAGCGGTTTATTATTCGAGGTCTACGACCCGAGTATACACCGTTTGTGACTTCGGTTCAAGGATGGGCTACACAACCTTCCTTGGAAGAGTTTGAAAATTTGCTCGCTTCGCAAGAATCACTAGCAGTACAAATGGCGGGAGTCAAAATTCATGATGACTCGGGGAGCGCCTTTGTAGCTAGGAGGCAACACAACTTCAAAGCCAAATCTAATGACGGTGGTCCAAGAAATAATGATGGACATGAAGGATCTTCTAAGGGAGATAAGAAAAAATTCAAGTGCTATCGGTGTGGAAAACTTGGGCATTTTAAAAAGGATTGCCGAGTCAAGCTGAAGGAAACAAACATGGCGGAATCAAAAGGTCATAATGAAGACGAAGAATGGGGAAAATGTTTTACGGTGGAGGCTGCATCTTCAAGTACATCTACACCTAAGAAAGTGGAAAATAATTGGATCGTAGATTCTGGTTGTAGCCATCATATCACTGGAGACGAGAAATTATTTTCTAGTCTTCAACGCCATGAAGGAAAAGAAGCAATCATTACCGCGGATAATTCAATCCATCACGTTGAGAAGGAAGGAACGGTGGTCATCAAAGGAGATGATGGAAGCCCAATCACTCTTAAGAACGTTTACCATGTTCCTGGAGTAAAAAAGAATCTTCTCTCCGTGGTAAATGCGGTGGACTCAGGTAACTATGTCTTATTTGGCCCAAGAGATGTTAAATTCTTAAAGAATATTCAAGAGTTAAAGGCGGATGTGGTTCACACTAGAGCACGAGTTAAAGATCTGTACGTTTTATCGGCGTCAAACTCTTATGTGGAGAAGATGAGTACCAACGATAATGCTTTTATATGGCATGCTAGGCTTGGTCATATAAATATGACTAAGCTCAAGGTTATGGTAAATAAAGACTTGGTTAACGGGCTCCCAAAGTTGAAGATCCAAGATGAAGGCACACTTTGTGAAGGATGTCAATATGGAAAGTCTCATAGACTTCCATTTGACTATTCCACTTCAAGGTGCAGTGTTCCGTTGGAAAGGGTCCATAGTGACTTGATGGGTCCGACAAGAACACCCTCATATTCCGGGTATCGCTACATGTTGTTGTTCGTTGATGACTTCTCACGGTACACTTGGGTATACTTTGTGAAGGAAAAATCTGAAGTATTCTCCAAGTTTCTAGAATTCAAGGTTACCGTGGAAAGGGAGTTAGGTCAGAAGATCAAGACCTTAAGGACGGATAATGGAGGGGAGTTCATGTCTAAGGAGTTTCTCTCTTTTTGTAGAGATAATGGTATCAAGAGAGAATTTACATGTCCGCATACACCTCAACAAAATGGAGTAGCAGAGAGGAAGATCAGACATCTAAGTGAGACGTGTAGAAGTTGGCTCCATGGCAAAGATTTGCCTAAGGAGTTATGGGCGGAGGGAATGAGATGTGCAGCCTATGTCATCAACCGGATGCCACTTAGTCCAAACAATATGAAGTCTCCTTATGAGATGGTTCATGGGAAGAAGCCAACGGTGAAACATCTCAGAATATTTGGATCAGTCTGCAACGTCCATGTGTTTGATTCACAAAGAACTAAGTTGGAGGCAAAGGCGAAGAAATGCATATTTGTCGGCTATGATGAACAAAGGAAGGGTTGGAGGTGTATGGATCCTGAGACACACAAGTATGTTGTGTCTCGTGATGTTGTCTTTGATGAAGTTTCTTCATACTACGGGCCACCTCAAGTCTTGGTTGAAAAAGATGGTGCGAGTTCCTCCAAGATCGATGAATCAACTCTCCAAGTACCATGTGAGAGTGGAAGTCCTGGAAATAAAATTCAAGGTCAAAGGGGGAGCACTAACCAAGAAGAAGAGGAACAAGATCATGGTTCGATGGTCAATCAACGGCCGAAAAGAAACATTGTCAAGCCTGCAAGATATAGAGATGAAGAATTCATCACTACTTATTCATGCTTCTTCGCAGCTCCGTTAGATGATGATGAGCCATCTTCTTATGATGAAGCTAAAGGAGTCCAAGAATGGGAAGCTGCAATGAAGGAGGAGATGAGTGCTCTCAAGAAAAATGAAACTTGGGATCTGGTTCCAAAACCCAAGGATGTTGAGCCCGTTTCTTGCAAATGGGTGTATCGAATTAAGCGAAAAGCAGATGGGAGCTTGATAGATTTAAAGCAAGGTTGGTTGCTCGGGGATTCTCTCAAAAGTATGGAGAAGATTATGATGAGACATTCAGTCCAGTGGCGAAGATGACTACGGTACGCTCACTTTTATCCTTAGCAGCATGTTTTGGTTGGAAGTTATGGCAACTTGATGTGAAGAATGCCTTTCTATATGGTGAGCTTGATAAAAGTATCTTCATGGAGCAACCACCTGGTTTCGAATCACGAGAGCATCTTGATCATGTGTGCAAGCTGAAAAAGGCCTTGTACGGATTAAAACAAGCTCCACGAGCTTGGTATGGAAAGGTTGCTCAGTTCCTTCAATTTTGCGGCTATGAGGCATCAAATTCTGACCCGAGTCTATTCTTCAAGAAGAAAGGAGGAGTCCACGTAGTAGTTCTTCTTTACGTGGATGATATGATAATTACTGGGAATGATGATGCAGAAATTGCTCGCTTACAAGAAGATATGTCGATAAGGTTCGAGATGAAGAAGTTGGGTGAGCTGAATAACTTTCTTGGCCTAAAGGTTGAAAGAGTAAAGGATGGAATATTCGTTGGTCAACAAGGTTATGAAAGAAGGATTGTTGAGAAGTTCGGGGTGCACGAAGGAAAGACGCGCACTACTCCGATGGATGTGAACATCAAGCTCAAACGTGATGAAGGTTCATTGTTACCTGATCCTCGACCTTATCGTGCTCTTGTGGGAAGTCTTCTATACTTAACCATTACAAGACCTGATATTGCCTTCGCAGTAGGTCTTGTAAGTCGGTTTATGCAAGCACCAAGGAAACCACACTTAGAAGCGGCAAAGAAGATCTTGAAGTATGTCAAGACAACTCTTGACATGGGCTTGGTGTACAAGTACAATGCAAAGATTTCTCTTCATGGTTTTACAGATGCTGACTTTGGTGGAGATCTAGATGACCGAAAATCAACTTCGGGCTATGTGTTCTTATGTGGAGACACAAGCATTTCGTGGTGTAGCAAGAAACAACCAACGGTATCGCTATCTACCACTGAAGCGGAGTATAAAGCTTCCACACTCGCTGCTCAAGAGTGTATATGGCTTCGAAGACTCTTTGAAGATTTGTTCGAGCCCATAAATAAACCGGTGGCTATCTACGGAGATAATCAAAGTGCTATCAAGTTAGCTAACAATCCGGTGTTTCATGCAAGGACAAAACATATTGAGTTAGAACATCACTTCATAAGGGAGAAGGTTCTTGATGGAACAATTGAAGCCTTGGAAGTTCGAAGTGAGGACAACGTTGCAGACATCTTCACCAAGTCATTACCAAAAGGCCAATTCGAGTTACTTCGCTTGAAGCTCGGGATGGTTGACAAAATCAAGTTTAAGGGGGAGTATTGAAGTTAAACTTGATTTTGGTTTAAGCTTAATTAAGGGTTTATAATTCAATATTCTATATTGGATAAAACCCAAAGTTAAGCCTAAGTTCTAGATTTCTCTAGAGCATCATAGAAAAATCATCACCTCCTTAAATGTTCTAGAGAATTCTATTAGATAGATATTTAGAAAATTATGTAGAATAATCTAGAAGTTTGTAAGATAAAATCTAGATATTTTAGTAGAGTTATAGAGATGATGGTAGAATAATCTAGAGACTTTGTAAGCTAACCTTGGAGGCTATAAATACCTCCTCACCCCCCTCATTTGTAACGAAGTTGAACAAGTGAATAAAAAGAAAGTTCAAATAAAAGAACACTCTTTAAAAGTTCTCTAAGTCTCTCCAAAAGTCTTTCAAGTAGTCTCTAATTGTTCTTCCAAATTTTCTATCATACTTAGAGGGTTTCTTATCTTGATTATATCGAGTTTCTCGGGTATTACGGTCTTGGGCTAGTGCTAAGCACTATCGAGTTTGGTTTCTTTACAGACGAGCCCCTGCCTTTCTTCTGGTTTCTCTTAGATTTAGGACGGGCGTCCTCTTCATCATCTGAAACCGTCTCATTGGTTGCTGTCTTCATGCTGACAGACTTGCCTTTCTTCTTCTTTGATCCTTTATCCGTATTAGTACTGGCAGGTATGCTTTCTACCGATTCTGAAGATTTGCTTGAATGATCTATCAAACTAGCATTAGAAGCTTGGATGCTAAAAGCTTCTGCCTCTTTCTCAATTTGATCATATATTCCCTAAACATTAGTAAGTCAAACTAAGGCATAGTTCAGATAGAGAAAACCAAAATGGAAAAGACAAACAGCTAATGATAGCCTTCATTTAATACCTTTATGAACCCATTGCTTAGGACATAGGACTCGCCCAGGATAAGTGCTTTCTCAGCCTGAAAAAAAATAAAAATATAAAAAATTGGAAATCAGCAAACAATTGCAAAAGAGCATTGACTAGTTATCAAATTTGATCAAAATCCCACCTTGAGAGCTGATTGGACGGAGGGACAAAGAAGCAACATCTTGTTTGCATCCTGTGACGTGAATGATGCAGGCAATACAGAGAGGGAATCGATCCTGAACCGAGTATCAAGGGTTTCAGTAACAATGTGATATAGACCCCATGATATAAAAGCAAAAAAAAAGACACCATAGACAGAGGGGACAAGAGTACAAGGAATAAGCCTCACCAGCTGTTTTGTTCAATAGCATCCTCGGTGGTAGAATCCAGCATCTCAATCATCGAGGAATGAATAAATACAGCAGCTAAAGGTTTACCATCTGGGTATCTAGACTATACACGTCAGATAACACAAAATCTAATGAGAAACATTGAAACCATTCCATAACTTATATTTTCACAAACTACATAAAATTACCCCAAATTAATATATGATCTGATACCTGTAAGAACTGAACGGCTTGAGAGAAATTCCAAGCTTCTGCATGGTCTCATAGGGAATATAAGAATTCTGCATGAAAAGGAACAAAATAAAACATAAATCCATTTCATCAAGGGAGAATAATATACAGAATATGCTTGAAGTGCAGTCAGGTCAAGGTTCAAATTTAATTATTTTCCGCAGCAAACTAACAAAAAAGGGACTCATACAAAAGGACAAACCTGTGAGAAGAAAGAGTCTACGCATTCCTTTTGAGCAACTGCAAAAACCTGTCCCCAAAATTAAACAGCAAAGTTGGTAACCGAACATGGGAAAGAGAAAGCAATGCATCAGACGCCATAAAGACTAGAATTCTACGACATACACTAGGAGTCCAATGTGTACCAGCACGTAATGATCCAAGCATCTCCTCTTCCTTCAACAGTCGATCAAATATAGAGTGGAAAAACGAATTCTCAACAGGGACTCCACTAGCTCCATTCATTTCTTGAACCAACTGATGCAACGGCGTCCACAACGAAAGACAAATTGGAAGGAACAAAGATACCCCTGGAAGCACCTCGAACCATAGCCGTAACACGCGCTACATAAGCAGGTGTATATAACTGTCCACCTTCTAGCCTTGCTTTCACCTAATAAACATTGAAAGATACAAAAGTATAGTAATAATATTAAAGCTCTCTCGTTCACTCAAACAGAATCTGACAGAGCTTAGAGGAGAAGCAACCATTACCAAAGTTCCAAGCCGAGGCTCTAAAACCGACTGCAGCAACTCTGATCCCAACCTGTAACTGACCAGCAAGCTCAGCCACAGAGATATGGCTGCATTCTTGAAGCCTCTCATTGATCTCTTCTGCAATTGAATCCGAATACCTTTGTGATATAATCTCTCCTTGAACAAGCATTAGCTCTGGATCACTCAACACAACATCCTGCGCACATGATATAAAATCAACACCAATCGTATCCGCAAGATCAATAACAGAGACACGTCCTAATTTACTAATCTCACTAGCGATTTCTTTCTTCAATTGCTCCTGCGAAACAAATCAATAAAGACGATATATAAAGCAAATTTGCGGATGGTTCGTATTTTCACTACATTTGGAATCTTTTGTATACCTGAGTGATGTATTCTTTTCCAGTGACGGTGTGAAGGAGATCCAAGTTGGATGACGCCGAGCTCTTGTAGCTTCTGAACCAATTCGACGACATTTCCATCTGATAATCTGACGTGCTGAGCGAACTCGAACTGTTCACCTGCTGAGCGAACTCGAACTGTCTTTGCAATTCCAACAATTCTTCATCCATCCTTTTCGTCCCGGAAATTTTTAGATCAAAGTGATATCGGAGAATCGATGCAAAGGATTTTTCCGTCAGTTACTCAGCAAGATTTGATGATTTTGTTCAATTGTTCAAACACACGGATGTAGTCATTTCCTTAATTTTTGAAAACCGGACCGGTCGGTATTAGTTAAAAACATTTTTAATTGAAACTTAAACGGAAGAAGCCCTAATAACGTCGTTCTTCTTTCTCTATCTTCTTCTTCTGGTTAGTTCGTCGAGAACTGCAAATCGCCGGTTTCTGTCTTTAGGTTGAGAATCAGATTACATGTTCTGGACCTCTTGGTATAAAAGTTACCATTTGTTATCACATTTTTTTTTTTTGGATTAAATCACGGCTATATATTTATTATTGTTTGAATGATGTAAAATGAGCTATCTCACTGGTACTCTTTCTTGCAGACACATATAGTAGATCTTCGTACAATCCCTGAGGCATTGCCGTATTTTGTTACACCCAAAAATGTTGAAGAGAACTCAGTGCTGTTGCAGCAGCTACCACACTGGGCTGCTTGTTCAATTACACAGGCTCTTGAGTTCCTCACTCCTGCTTATAAGGGACATCCACGTGTCATGGCATATGTCCTACGAGTTTTAGAGTCCTACCCTCCTGAGCGAGTTACTTTTTTCATGTCGCAGTTGGTGCAGTCTTTGCGCTATGATGATGGGGCAAGTCTTATTATAAAAATCTATATATTTAACGTCACTTCTCTCTCACCAGCCTCTCTCTCTCTCTCCCTCTAAGCAATTTGGAGGAGAAAAGTTTTTTATTTATATCATTTGGTTTCTGCCCATTAGATTTAGCGAAGGCATATCTTAATACGTGAATTTATATGATATATAGCTTTTCTAGCGTAGTCTATTTAGTTTTCATATGTGGTTTTTTCTTTTTCTTAGTATTGAAAATAGAAATTCTGGTGCTAAAAGTTGGAATGACTAGCCTATACAACCTTTCTTTTCTTGGTTTTTTTTTATCTAAACTAGTTTTTTTACATTAGTATTGGATTATCAGCTTCATATTTTTCAAAATACATGTCTAATTTTGTTGTAGTTGGTCCATTCGATTGCTTGAGGTTTTCTTTTCGCAGATTTATTTCAAATGCTACGAAAATTACACTTCTACTAGGGCTGGTGTGATGCCTTACTTGAGTTCTTTCTTTTTTCCTGGTTCCTACGATGTTTAACAGTTTCAACTTCATTTTTGGAATGCAGAGGCTAGTTGAAGGGTATCTTCTTAGAGCTACCCAAAGAAGTGACATATTTGCCCATATTCTCATTTGGCATTTGCAGGTAAGTTTAAACCTAGTAGATCCACTTTGCAATCCACTTTGCAAACTCTTAATTTTGCTTGAAAACTTTATGGAGATTTGTTGACTTTGAAGTTCTATCTTTTATGATGCCAGGGTGAGTCTGTTCAGGAGACTCCAAAGGAAGGTTCTATCGATAAGGTTTGCCCATTATTATCATTTTCTGCTTATATTTCATCGGTGTTAGTTCCAGTGTGGAGTCTACTTCTTACTACTGCTAGGCTAGTAGAGTATTTATGTTACTGCTGATATATATGTGGCTAGACTATCTTTCACAACACTGAAATCATTGCCATCTAGTACAATGTACTGGCCTTAATTACGGAAAACAGTATCATACAATTACAATATATGGTCTCTGCAGAAAACATCTGCGAAGTCTTCTGGTTAGGTTATTCTTCACTTGTTATACAACGCTGAAAATATCCTTGATTTAATAGCTTGTTTACCACTGGATTTAAGCACATATTACAAGATCTTGAAAATGTGTGTTATGACTGCTTATTGTTTTGTATTAGCATAAGTTTGTTCTTGGAAAATATCTTTTGGACAAAATATGTAGTGAGACAGAGAGTAGGTTGTTAAGCTGTAGATAGCGCTAGAAACTTCGTTGTATATCTTTTGACCAATCTGCTGAGAACAATATATCTTGTTTCTTAATATTTCAGAATGCGGCATTCCAAGAAATTTTGCCAGAGGTTCGGCAGCATATCATTGATGGTTTCAATCCCACTGCCTTGGACATGTTCACTAGAGAGTTTGACTTCTTTGACAAGGTTACTTCTATTTCTGGGGTGCTATTTCCTCTTCCAAAGGAAGAATGCAGAGCCGGTATTAGAAGGTAACATTTTAAATTTAGTAAAACCATATCATGGTACGGATTGATCTGCATGATGCAAGGTAATCTAATACTATCCATGGCAGGGAGTTAGAGAAAATTGAAATGCAAGGAGATGACCTTTATTTGCCTACTGCTCCTAACAAGCTTGTTAGGAGTATCCGTGTAGACAGTGGAATACCCTTACAATCAGCTGCCAAAGTCCCTATCATGATAACTTTTAATGTTGTTGATCGTGATGGTGACCACAGTGATGTTAAACCACAAGCTTGCATTTTCAAGGTAAGCCTTTGCATGATTTTATACAACTTCTTTTTATGTTTGTAGGTCGACATGAAAACTATTGTACTGTGATGTTGATTCTTATGGTATTTGCCAGAACAGAGAAAAGAAATCAGTTCTCCTGTCTTGCTCTTCCACTTGTTTAAGTAAATAGCACGGAAAACAAATGTAGCCAGTGGTTTCTAGACATTCATATGCTGCAACCAGTTGGTATTTACTGTTAGTTTGATGATTATCTCTTGTGTATTCATTCAGGTTGGAGATGATTGCCGGCAAGATGTTCTTGCCCTTCAAGTGATATCTCTTCTGAGAGACATATTTCAAGCCGTTGGTCTTAATCTTTATTTTTCCATATGGAGTACTCCCAACTGGTGCGGAGAGGGGCATAATTGAGGTATAACTTCTAAAATGTTTAAATTTGAACCAATTTCCCTTGTTGGATTAAATAGATATGGTGGTATGAAGAGCTTTCATGTATCAAATAAGAGGCTCAAACGTTTTTTTATCATATCTCTTTTTCCCTTTTATTACAGGTTGTGCCTAATACACGAAGCAGAAGTCAAATGGGTGAAACAACCGACGGGGGTTTGTATGAGATTTTTCAACAAGACTATGGACCCGTTGGCTCAACCACATTTGAAACAGCACGAGAGAACTTCCTCATCAGCAGTGCTGGTTATGCAGTGGCTAGTCTTTTACTCCAGCCCAAAGACAGACACAACGGAAATCTCCTCTTCGACGAGTATGTTTCCTATTTTGCTCTTACCCTTTGTTCTTTTTGCATGGTGCAATGGACAAAAAAACAATCAAAAACTGTCTATGGAGAATATAATGTGGGAAATTTCATAAAAGTAACACAACTATATTACCATGTGTTATATGCTAATGCAGCTCGGGAAGACTTGTCCACATCGACTTTGGTTTCATTTTGGAAACTTCACCTGGTGGAAACATGCGGTTTGAGAGTGCTCATTTCAAACTGAGCCATGAAATGACTCAGTTACTAGGTGTTATGAAAAGCAAAACATGGCATCAGTTTGTGAGGTAATTTTCCAAAACTTTATCCAATTTCTCCCCATCAACATTTTGGTTCTGAAAGATAGATTTTCTATATCTTTCTGCATAAAAAAGCTTGTGCGTCAAGGGGTACTTAGCTGCTCGGCGGCACATGGACGGAATCATCTGCACGGTGCAAATGATGCTAGAAAGTGGATTGCCTTGCTTTAGCAGAGGAGATCCAATTGGTAATCTTAGGAAAAGATTTCATCCAGAAATGAGCGAACGTGAAGCTGCACACTTCATGATTCATGTCTGTACCGACGCATACAACAAGTGGACTACTGCTGGTTACGACTTGATTCAGTATTTGCAACAAGGCATCGAGAAGTAAGAACAAGAGGGAGTCTAATGCTATTCCAAATCAGAGTTATATAATTTGCAGGTAAAAATCTTTAAATCATCCGAGTATTCCGATTTGCTAATTTTTGTCTCCTCTCGGTTTGGACATGATGACTGATTACTGGAGAGGAACTTGAGGATTTATTTTTTAAATTTTTTTGTCGTAGGGTTCTGCTATGCACAAAAAAGTAACAAAAGAGAAAGGTAGGAGTGTTGTGGTGTGGGGAGTTTCAATAACTTGAGAAGCAAGCTATTATGATATTTGATCTTTGATCTTTGATTATTCTTATATTGATTGGTGCATTCTTACCACTGGGCCATTTTGACCACAAAAATTAGTGTACAAACTAAGTAATTTATATATACATATGGTGCAGTTGCATCACCCTTCCCCAACGGGGGTTCGCCCCTAGTTGGTATGCAAAAAATGAACAAAATATATTCTATTAGCATGTAAAAGAATAGTAAAAAGCAACTTTGGAAGAGTTTGGGTCGTTTGGGATCAGTCAATATTTACATATCTTAATCAAACGGTGGTGTGTGGAGTCTTTAATAGCTCCTCGAACCTCTTTTCACGGTGTTGTACTTGTTTACATATGCATACAACACTTGGATGGATGAACACTTTCTGGTACGTTACTCGTTTATTCCAGTTACTCTCATTCATTCTTGCTTTCCGATTACTCATTCCGCTTCGTGTAGTGGAGGAACTCAAAAGCTGCCCCTCCGATATTGATAATGATCTCTCTGATATTCCCTCTCACGATATCCATTTAACTTGGACAACTGACAAATCAATCATTCAATAGCCCGTAAAACTGGACCAAGCAGTGTCAAACGAGTATCTGATCATGGAATTTATGATGTCCATCACAATATTTTGATCATTTGCATTGCTTGGTGAACGTAAGCAACAAATGTTGAAGAAAAGTACAACTTAGAAATACAACTTAAGTCTCACTCTACATTTTTATCCTTTATTGAGGAATCTTGGCAATCTGACAGGATCTGCTGCTTTATGTTTTGTCTTAGCCAACAGCTTAAGGCTTCTTGTTTTTGTTAAGGTATGAACAATTTTGGAAACGCTCTAGAATGGCAATTTACTAAATACAGTACTACAGTAGTTTAGTTAATTCAAATTTTAGTACATAGAATTCATAATTTTGTTTTTTTTTTAAAAAAAAAAACACTCACCATTCAATGTGTAGAAAATGTCTTTAAGTCAACCCATAAGTTTACACAAAAAAAAAAAGTCAACCCATGAGTCATGGAGTACAAAGAAAAAAGAAAAGAGAACGGAGTGACAAGAGACAAGATAAAACGACAGAACAACAGATCTATCAGTTTAGTGACTACAGTGAGGATTTGAATTGAGAATCGAAGAACCCAAGTTTGAAAATTACGTGTTGGTAATTAGAGATTTGACTTAAGTAATTAACATTTCTTGTAGAAAATTCTAGTTAATTTGCTTAATAAAGGCTCTCCCTCTCTCTATATCTTTCATTTTATAGGTCTTGTTTACGCCTGGTGGTGTAGGAAGAAATGTAGCTAGGCTGAGTGCATCTTCAGACTTGGAATTAGACCTTTTATGATTGCTACTTTGGGAATCGATGGTCCAGGTTTCTTTATTCAATAGTCTGTCTCATCGATTCATTAATTCAAGAAACGCGACATTCGTCAGTCATTGTGTTTCTTCCTTTGACGTTTCTTGGGAGCTTGATTTGGTCTTTTTTATTCATACACAGCCAATGTATTATTAAAAGACTGGAAGCTCTCCATGGAAGGTCACACTTTGCCACTAAAATTCTTTCTGTTACTTTACCAACAGATCAAGTTTCTGTTATATATAGCAAATCAATTAAGTCTGTCCTTTTACTTGTCAATTCTAAGAGATTTCATAACAAGTGAAACCTATTTGTGAATCTTGTTTCATTTTTAACATCTTAAATATAACTTTATAGTCCTTTTCTTTGTCTCTGGCTTTACACTTTGGTTAAAAAACTTTTCTTGGTCCATGTTGCAGGAATCTTGAGACGTGAAGACATTAGCACTCCCATTGTATCACTCGTATATGACACAAATGGAGAAGTTGCTGCTGGTGTGGATGCAGTTGTATGTATCTTTTTTTTTATCTCATATCACCGTATTAGAATGCTCATCTAAGCAATCGTGTTTATTTCTTTTTGATCATTTTGTTGGAATTGGGATTGTAGGAATGTCGTTGTTTTACTTAGTTGGACAAGTTACATTTACATTGTTTCCTCTGGCAGGAAAAGTTTCTGACACCTGAGTGGATCCAGCGGTTTAAATACAACATAAGCTCTGCTCCTGTTCTTATGGTGGATGCAAATCTTACCACTCTTGCTTTGGAAGCATCCTGTAAATGTAATGCTCATGGTTTCTCAGTTTGATTGTCTTATCATAGTTTCGTCTGTCTTCTAAACGTTTTTCTTCTTGAAGTGGCTGTAGAGTTCAATGTTCCTGTATGGTTTGAGCCTGTGTCAGTCACAAAGTCTCAGAGAATCGCCTCAGTTGCCAAGTATGTGAGTGCCATGTTTCCATATTCATGAAGGCTAGAGTCTTTTGCGTTCTCTATGTTTATTTGCAAGCCAAACGGATTTCAGTTTTGTTTCCTATAGATAACAGTAGTGTCCCCAAACCAAGACGAACTCATAGCGATGGCAAACGCTCTCTGCGCCAAGAATTTGTTCCACCCCTTTAAATCAGAAGAAAATACGCTGTCCATCGAAGGCATATTCCGCGCGCTAAAACCAGCCATTTGGATTCTCCTTGAAAATGGTATTAAAGTAGTTATTGTAACCCTTGGATCCAATGGAGCTCTCCTATGCTCCAAGGGAAACCCGAAAAAGGCTCTGAACATAAACCGAAAGTTTATCAGAAGTGGAGAGATCTTCAAAAGGGTACAATCTGTATGTCCACCAAACCGGTTTTCTGAATTATTATCGAATCGCAGCCCAAGTCTTTTCGCAATGCATTTCCCAACCATCCCAGCCAAAGTCAAGAAACTCACTGGTGCAGGTGATTGTCTGGTAGGCGGGACAGTCGCATCGCTAAGCGATGGTTTAGATCTAATTCAAAGTTTAGCAGTTGGCATTGCCTCGGCTAAAGCAGCGGTTGAGTCAGACGACAATGTGCCTCCTGAGTTCAATTTGGATCTTGTTACCGGTAATGAACTAATTACTATGTGTCAATATGAATGAGAGTCTGAATTATGGTTAAAGTTTCGGTTAGCTCATATATATTGGTTTTATCGGGTCTGAGCCGGTTTACACTTTTGTATTTGGTTTGAACGTACAGATGATGCGGAGTTGGTATACTATGGCGCGAAGATGTTGGTGGTTCATCAGTCGATGCTATGAAGGATGATCTTGTTGGTTCTTTTGCTAAAACAGTATTTGGCCTTAGCAATTGTGTTATGTAACACTAGTAACAGTATCAAATTTTCTTTATAATTCTAGAAGTATTGCTTATAAAAGTAGTTTAGTGGTTTGTCTAGTAGTCAAGTCCTATCAAATAAAGTATTGCTGGCAACAAATAATGTCCAACAACTTCTGAAGTGTTTAGAAACCAAACTAAAGATAAGATGAACAATTTCAACGGTTTTTTCTGATATGGTCGACAAATATTTTGAAAACTTGTAGCTATAAGATAGGTCTATGTGAAACTCAAGCAATTTCATAATGGATTTTATAGAGGTCTTTCGATTTCTAAACTTAATACCAATATCTATTGACCAACATGTGAACCTAATATCAAAGCATTATGTATAATTAAATAAACTAATTATTCATAGACATAGCATTAAATAGATAAAAATATAAAAATTTACTAAAATAATACTATTTTTCACCTTTCAAAAACATGGTTCCATTATTTTATACCATTTAGAATATTCAAAAAAAAAAAAGAAAAGAATATTCATGAATTTTTCTTGTATTTGATAAGTGTTTCTGTTTATAAATTACTATGAACATGTTGCAAAAGAATGATTAAAAAGTAAAGTAACTAGATATACTATAGTATATCGTTAGAATATTCGACCTAACACTTGCAAAAGAATGATTGAAATGCCCTCGCCAGTTACTACAACAAGTATGTGTGTGTGTTTGTTGGGTATGTGTGTGTCAGTGTGTGTCTATACATACCTCTCACGATCAATTTGTTAGAGACGTAAAGATTTTTGTTTTTGGTAAACGTGGGAGACGTAAAGATTGCTTGGTCATCTGGAATTTTATTAATTAACTTGTTTTGGAACCACAGATAAAACACTACGTCCAAAAGAGGGAAACTAAGACGGCGGACGACATACAAGTCCCGGAGACAAAGCCGGAGGAAAACGAGATTTCCCCGGAATCTAAACCCTATAAAAGGATTAAAAAAACAAAGTTCTTTCTTTTTGCACAAAGCAGAAAACAAATAATTAAATAAAAATTACTCCCTCTGATCTAATTTAATTGTCGTTCTGGAAGTTTTTGAGTAGATTAAGAAAGTGAACCATTTGACTGTTTTAACCTCAGCATTAAAACTAATTTACAATCTTATTTTTTGTTTTTTTTTTAATTAAGGTTATGTTAGTAATTTAGTTAGTGTTATTATCTTTTCCAAAGACAACGACACTTAATAAAGAAAAAAATCACTCCTAGAACGACTATTAAATCTGATCGGAGGGAGTAATAACCTTTAATTTTATCTTTGCTCAAATACTTTTCTTCAAAATATTCTCATTAGGCCAAATCCGAAATGGGATGAAAAAGAAGACTTCTTAAAGTGATTTCTTTTTATTTTATTATTCTTCCATTTTCGTCTTCCGCATATTCATTAGATCCATAATATATATCTATCTAGAACTAATAAAATTAAAATATAAATATACTAGTATTAACTTATGCAAAAAGTATATAAATTAGAATACTATTAAATTTGATCTATAGTATATTGATCAAACTCATATAGGTTGTTCAACACATGATATGGCCAATAAGGTGAAATATAATGAAATGATATTTATGGCTCCAAAATCCTAGAAAATGATGGCTCCAAAGTCCTAGAAAATGCTAAAAGATTAATCGAAGTGGCTAGCTTTTGCCACAGAAATAAGTGAATTCTCTTATTTTAGTAACAAGTTTATTGATTTTCTATTTGTTTAATCCCTTGTTGTAATAACTCATGTGTTGATTGTCTCACCAAAAGACACACCAAGACGGAAAACTCTGTTTTCATATGTAAATAATTCGGTGTCGGATTGACTTTAATATATGAACTATTTGGTATCTTTTTTTTTTTTTTTTTTAAGCAAAAACTATTTGGTATCCAAAAGAATAAAAATATGTATCATAGTATCTTGATACGTTATGAGATTTTCAGTTATACTCGGTTTTTGTTGGATAAAGAAAACATCTGTGATTAGCGCCCACATTTATCTAATTAAGATAGATAATAAGTAGGTGATCATTTTTTTCCAACAAAGACACGTTTTTTAAATGGCTATTTGACTATTACTTTTAAGAACTTAGAACGGAGTTTTAAATGTTTTGAGCAGAATAAGATTTTATCAGATAAAAGGACATGTTTTTTTTTTGCTTTTTCACTATATAAAAAACATTAACTCGTTAATAGCATTAATATCGTTAACTTTGTTTTTATTAGCATTCACCTATATTGTTTTAATGTAGGTGAATTTGAGATCTAAAATGTTTTTACTTCAATCTCTCCACTCCATTTACAACGGCTCTAAAAAATCATGGAGTAGTAGAAACTTAAGGGAACAAGACACTGAACAACTTCAACCTTCATCAACTTTTATGACTAATATTATAAAACTAGCTCACAAGTGAACAATGATACCAACAATCGCCGAGTAAGTCCCCGTGACCATAAGAACTAAACCCATCACAATAATCACTATCAAAACCACACTCTCAAACTCCAAAAGTCTCCTATATCCCTTACTGATCTTTAGGTAAATTACACATGGAAACACTATCGAAGTAAAACTAGTCAAAAGTGCTCCTATAAGTGACATTACATACCCAAACAATGGCACAACTAGTGCAACCAATATTGTTCCTAAAACCAGCCCAGTTCCAATCAACATCCGGAGGCTTCTCCTTTTGTAGTTCGCTTGGATCAACCGTGTATTGATTATGCTTCCATGATCGGGGAAAGGATTAATGCATATTTGGTTAGCGGGCTCACGATTGTGGTAGAGAATGCTATCATTGCACTTACCTTATGAGTTGGAAGGTTTAAAGTGATTTGTGATTGCACCTCTTCTCCATACATTAGATATCCAAAGATTGCCATCAAACCATAGATTATGGATGATAAGGCAAAGCTTATGAAAAGAATCTATACATAACCAAAAAGAAAAAGAAAAAAAACCGGTTAACATTTGTAACGCCCGCGAACCGATTTTCGGTTCAGCGTGTCGATCGACACCACTAGGGTGTGTCGATCGACACTAAGCGATTTCGGTAATTGAGCTTTTGGGCTTTTAATTGCGCGATTTCGTCCGGTTTAGGGAAGGAAACCCTAATGGGCTCGTATTTAAGGCTTCAGGGACGCGACCTAGGGTTTCTTTTAGCCTCTTTGTCGTTTTGTGAGAGAGAAATCAGAGAGAAAGTATCCTGAGAGCTTTTCTGTGATTTCCTGAGCCTGTTTCTGTGAGATTTCTTGGTGAAAAGAGAGATCTGAGCCTGGTGGTACGAAGGGGTGGTGAAAAGGGTCGTTCTTCTTCCTGTTCTTGTTCAGAATCGTTCAGTTTTTTCCCCAGAGAAGAGGTGAGTGCATGACTGAGGGATTATCTAAGCTTTAGATCATTGTTTGCTTTGTTATGTGATGATTGATGATTGACTGGCTTGCTTTCTTGTGTTTGCTGGGTCGAATTGTGTGAGAGGGGACTTGTTTGGTCTCTAGATGGATCGCTTGTGTGAATTAGGGCACTGGAGAAGGAGGATTCGCGATGTGGAGATCGCTGGAATTGTGCCTGCGCGATCAGTGTCGATTGACACGGGAAGTGTCTGTCGATAGACACAGATCGGGCAAGGTGTCAATCGACACAGAGAAGTGTCTGTCGATCGACACCATTCGGGGCAGTGTCGATCGACACTGAGGTCGTGTGTCGATCGACACCCGTTCGTCAGATAGCCTGTTTGTCTGGTTTGTTTGTTGGTTGTTGTTGTGTATTATTTCTATTGCTTGTGTGTATAGCTTGTTGCTTGGGAGGATTTCTTTACTAAGTATTTATGATAATACTTACGCATCTCATTTGTGTTGTTGATGCAGGTAAAGGCAAAGTGTGACCGTGGGATCGTGGCGAGGAAGAGGGGACCGTGGCTGTTGTTGTGTATTATTTCTATTGCTTGTGTGTATAGCCTGTTGCTTGGGAGGATTTCCTTACTAAGTATTTATGATAATACTTACGCATCTCATTTGTGTTGTTGATGCAGGTAAAGGCAAAGTGTGACCGTGGGATCGTGGCGAGGAAGAGGGGATGATCTAGATGCTCGTGGGTATTTAGTGAGTATGGGATCACTAGATATGAGTTAATTATTTAAAAAAAAAAATGGGTTGGGGTGTTTCAATTAGGTATCAGAGCCGGAGTTCGGTTCTAGGATGAGTAGGAAATTAAATTGATGAGTTGATTTCTTGATGATTGTTGAGCGATGAGCTAGGGTGGTAGCATGCTGTGAATTGATTATAGAGTATTTAATCGATTGCGTGCTGTTGGAATTCTAGTATCATCCTCTCCGAGCCTTAAATGAGATTCCACGGTAAGTTGTGTGTAGTATAATTGTTTGTTCTAGTTTCTTAGTCTTCTGTTCTTGGGGTAGCGCAGATAGAGGAGCTGGAGTTTTCAGTAGAGGTCGTGGTCGCGGCAGAGGCGAAGCCGCGATAGAGCAGTTTGTGGGTCCGCAGCCTGAGCAGCTCAAACTTCTTGTGATACTCTTCAATACCATTCGTCTCTTTTAAATGCTTTAATTCAGCAATTGGATCATCTAAAACTTCAGCAAAATGTTCCTGCAACACAAGCTTATACGTTTTCCAATCACTCAACAATTTAACCCCAAAATCAGTGTCCAACAACGATTGGTGCCACTTCTTTGCAGCTCCATCAAAATGAATCGAAGCAATTTTTACTTTCAACTCCTCTGGTGTAAAATTAAGAGCGAAGAACTGTTCCAACTTACCCGATCTCCACTAAATCTATGAAAATCCAGTTTCGATAAACGAGTACCAGGTGAGGAATTCGAATTCATACCGGATCTGTAACCACGCATTGCTTTCGATGATGGATACACAGTTTCTCGAGTCATTGAAATCGATACTGCCGATACTGCCGAATAGTTTCTATCCACTCCGTTTTTTCCACTAGAAGAAGTCTGGTTTGATTTCATCACCTTAATCATATCTAACATATCGGCAATGTTACGATCGATTTTCTTATTTTGATCAGCTAATGATGCCTCGAGAGCTTGAGTTCGATGGATAATCTGGTCCAACCGCGAGCCGATCGTCTCCTCCGTAACATGATCTAACTCCGAAGCATTCACTACCTCTGGATCGTTCTGCAACACACGAGATCTCAACTCCACCACCATTTTTTCCGAGCACCGAATGGCTCTGATACCAGTGATAACGGGAAACCGATGAGGAAGATTAAAATGAGCTTCTGAATTTTATGAAGGGTAAATGGATACAACGTTCGCAAGTAACGCAACACCACTTCTCATCTGCAAGAGTCTCAAAGAGAGATCCAGCAAAACGATGAGGAAGAGTCCAAAGACTTCTAGAAGAAGCTACAACAGAGAATCAGATTTTCATATATAAAAGTGTGAGCTTAACAATTGCTCTTTATACTAAAGAAGATAAACAGTGTCAACAACAGCTTCCGTCACCGTTAGTCCTTCTCCACCTCATCACCACACACGTATCTTCCAACTTGCACAATCCACACGTGCGAGGCTTGATCTTCTAGAAAGCTATATCATATTGTTGGTAATGGACTATCTACTCTCAAAGCTTTGTGCGTTTCTAAGCTCGAAGAAGGCCTACATCTCTAGCTTGGGTTAAGAGTTAAGACCATAATATTATAGCTTAACTTCTCGAAATTTCTCTAAACTACTTTCAATTAAGGGATGCACTTGTTGTAACACGAATTTTTGGGTTGAATATAATTTTACATACATTAAAAAAAAAAGCTAAAAACTTGGAGTTTGGGAAAAAAAAAAAAAAACCAAGTTTGTGAAGGTTTTATAACCGAGGGCATTTACGTCAATTAGTTAGTTAAGTTGGGCTTTGTGTGAGATTCTTAAAAAGCCCATCTTTACAAAATCGAAAGAGCCAGCGAAAAACCCTAGACAACGAAACATTTCACTCTTCTTCTCTTCCACCCTCTCCGATTCTCAGGCGAAGATTTTATTCACATTTTCCGGTGATCTTCTCGTGTCCGTCCAAATTTCAGTAGTTCCTTTGTGAAGACTTACTTGATCGGAAAAAAAAAATGAAGCCAGTAATAGGCACAGTGGTATCGAACAAGATGCAGAAATCGGTAGTCGTCGCCGTCGATAGACTCTTCCACAACAAACTCTACAATCGCTACGTCAAGCGCACTTCCAAATTCATGGCTCACGACGACAAAGACGCCTGCAACATCGGCGATCGAGTAAATTCTCTCGCATTTCCTTCTTCCTTATCACTCTAATTTCGTTTCATTGCGTCTTTTAAATCTATTTCAGCTATTGAAATGTTTGATCTCATCCACTTGAAAATTGGCTTTGTGATTGAACTTGAGGCTTAAGAAATTTGAAAATTTGGTTAATTTGTTAGGTGAAGTTAGATCCATCAAGGCCATTGAGCAAGAATAAGCATTGGGTTGTTGCTGAAATCATCAAAAAAGCTCGAATCTATTCTCCGGAGGCGGCTGCTGCTGCTGTTGCTTCTTCTTCTGCTTCCTCTGCCTCCATTGCTGACTCTTCTGCTCAGTCTCAGATTCCTCCATCATCTACTTCTTAAGGTGATTGACATTGATATAAAGTGACATTTTACGGGTTTTAATGAGGCGCAAGATTATAAGTTTTGCTGTGTGACAATATGCATCTTGTTATTTGACAGGCCGTGTGCAAATAATTAGGGTTTAGATTGAATTTTGCTTTTGATATCGATTCTTTGTATCAAAAATTGAATTTGGGTTGGGTTCGGGTTTGCTTTGAATTATTTCGGTTCGGGTTCAGATATCAAAATATCCAAAAACCAGTGTTTTCACGCCCAACCCGAACCGTCCGGTTAACCCACGACCCGGACACTTTTCCGGTTTGGGTTTAATGCTAATATCCGCCATTTTAAGAACCGAAAAAACCCACAAAAACTCGCCATTAACCCGCGACCCAGTAAACCGGTTGAACCGACTGGGTATGGGTTTTAAAAATATCATTTGATTTTGGAATAAAATATAGAGTTTTAGACTCTATTCAGACTCTATTCAGTCATTTTTAGAATTTTTTTTAGATTTTAGACTCATTTGTTGTTTTAAAATTTTTAATGAAACTTCACAGTGCCATCTAAGGAGAATGAATGGAATGGTGAGAGAAATAACCGAGATTAACTTTTTTGAATTTTGCGATGTTTTATTAGTTTAAAAATTTTGTTTGAATCACTTTATTATTATTGTTAGACTTCATATTTTGTAATATATTAAGAATATTTTTATTTTTATATTTATAAAAACTAAATCATCTCTATAAATATTAAATATATTAAATAAAATTTTGATCAATTGACCCGTGGTCGAACCCGGTTGACCCAGTGACCCAGAAGGTAGTCCGGTTCACTATCTGGGTCGGGTTTAAAAACACTGCCAAAAACTCTAAAAATTTGGTTAAATTTGTAATTTTTTGGTTAGATTTTTAAAATTATAACTATGTTTTAATATATATTTTGATTTTTTTAGGAATTTTCTTTATTTTGATCTTAAAATAATTTATATTTTTTTAGATTTATAATGGCATGATTTAAAATTTTAAACCTCTTTTTGAAACCCTAATTGAAACCTCTTTTTGCTGCGTAACCTCGGTAATTCTCGTAACACCTAGAATCTCCTTCCGTTTTGAGGATTCAACCCGCACCTTTTAAGTTCTTTGTATTCTTCGGCTGGAGATAGAGAATTCAAAGTCGGCGATAGAGAATTACCAGCGCGACTCCGGTTATTCAAAGTCGGCGATAGAGAATTACCAGCGCAACTCCGGTTTGAGATGGAGGCGGACAGGTACACTTGAACTCCGGTTTCCCGAATTTTCGATTCATTTGTTCAAATGTTTGATTCGCGAGATCATGAGTAACGAGACTGTTAGGTTAGGATTCATGGACAAGCTATTTGACACTGATTATCGTTCTTCCTTCTCAGTCCCATGGGTTTATTTTGGTCTCTGGTTCGACTTTGATTTTTAGCTTTTTTTGTTAAATTTGGTGTCTGTGAAGAATCATTCTTTATCATGTCCTCTTTATATCTTAATCATGAAGTTTGACTCAACGGATTTGATGTTTGGTGACTATGTTTTGATGTTTATCTCTGTTTGATGTGTATGTTTTGATTTTTAACTTTTTTTTTTGTTAAATTTGGTGTCTACGAAGAATCATTCTTTATCATGTCCTCTTTATATCTTAATCATGAAGTTTGGCTCAACGGATTTGATGTTTGGTAACTATGTTTTGATGTTTATCTCTGTTTGATGTGTATGTTTTGATGGCTACTAGGTTCTGATTTTGTTTTGGTTCTGATAGAGAGTTTTGGTTTTGGTTCTGTGATTGAAAGTGATATTCTAGGATTTTGATTTTTGGTTTGAATTTTGATTTGAATTTTGATTTTGATTTTGATTTTTGATTTTTCTTTCCCCAATAAATTCGTGTTGGTTTGAATTTTGTTTTTGAATTTTGATATTTTAGATCGGTTCCAGTTGCTAAACCGAAACTCTTCTTCCCTCCAACCTCTTTCAATAAGACATGTAAAATCAGTTCAATGTCTTCTCCCGACAAGACTGTTCCATACTTATGGAGTAAACTTTCTGATTGGGAAATTAGCTGGTTTTTGAAACACCCTCAGTTTAAACACATTTTCGATAGGCCTAGGGAGAGGTTTCATAAATGCAAGGGAATGTGGAGTTTAGTTCTCCGTACTGTTAATATGAAGAAGAAGCAGAACGAGTTATGGTTTGTTGTTAATGGTGTCCCTATTCGATACTCGATTAGGGAACACGCGTTAATTACCGGACTAGATTGCAGAAAGCTTCCAGATAATTATGAGGAAGAATTAGAGAAAAAATTTGGTGGTGATGGATTTATTAACAAGTACTTTAAAGAGGGAGATAAGATATCTCTCGAAGCTGTGTTTGAAAAACTACAGTCGATGGAGGAAGTAGAAGGTGATGATGATAGATTGAAAATGGCAGTATTATACTTCCTGGGATCCGTGATCAATCCAAAGAAGAAAAAGAGTGCAAAGATAGACTCTTTCTTGGTAAATATTGTCAGTGATTTGGAATTATGTAAGAGTTTTCCGTGGGGAACCTTCACGTTCATTCATTGTATAGACAATATTCGTCGATGGATAAAAATGTTCAAGAGTAAACCGAAATCTTCATGGACTATTCCCGGCTTCACTATTGCAATTGAGGTACCATTTTTTCTCTTTTTTCTTCTCTGTTGTTATTATTTCATTCTTGTTCTTATTTCCAACTTTGTGCAGATTTTAGCTTTTGAGTGTATTCAACCACTCAAAAGCAAATTTCGAGAAAACGTAGACCACAGAGACAATGGATGTCCACGTATGTGTCGGTCGAAATTCAAACACACAGGTGACACGGGATATTCACTGGACGCGATATACGAAGCAATTGGAACTACGAAGGTATGAAAACTCAGTGTTTTATGAATCACGATTTTGGTATGCTACTTTGTTTGTGTTTCTTTAGTTTATTCTTGATACCTGCTAGATAGGTGTTTCATTCAAATGACTTTAGCTGATCGGTTATTATGCTATTTTGTTTGTATTTTTATACAGGAGATTCTGAGTTTTTTGGTCCCTAATCCGGAGGAGCAACATCTTTTAGCTAACATCTTTATTGACGAGGAAGATACTGACTCGGTGGCTGACTCTTGGAACGACCTTCTAACGCAGCAAAACAAGGTGCTATTTTGGAATGATCTTTATGAGGAAGATCAGTCGAACAGAGAAATTGTAGAATCAACCAAGACAACCAAGAGAACAAACAACCCCAGAGGCAAGAAAAGAAAAGGAAGTGATAAAGAGCTAAGAGATTTGCGGTTACAAGTTGGTGGCTTAAAAAAACGGATGGTGGCTGTAGAAGCATTGTGTCCTAATGGAGCAAGGGCTACTGGTGCGAAAAATAATGATGACATGAATCAAGAAGAGCACAGGGAGCACGAAGAAGAAGATGCCCTGCACATGACTCAAGTAGCGACCCTGAATGATCCCAGTGAGCACGAAGAAGAAGATGTTGATAATGGTAATTATGTCGAGTTCGAGGAGTCACAGCCTCAATCTTCTCCTTTTCAGACTGAAGAGATCGCAAAGCTTAAGGAGTCCAAGAAGAAGGCAGAGAAGCCACTACCTCCATCTCAAGTGGTAAATGAGCCTTTCAAGTGCAACTTGATCAACCATAATGGAAATAATGATGTTGTTGCAATAGGATGTTGCTATCCAAGCCGTGGATTTCTCCACAATGTACCCGTGAAGCCTGATGAAGTTGTTGTGACAGTGTCTGAGGTCAAGATAGACATACGTCTTTGGGCACCAGTAGATGACATTGCGATGCTAAGAAATGCAATTAGCCAATTCATTGTCTGGCCAAAAAAAATGGTAGTACATTATGAGGAGGAGAAATCAGAGGATCAAATTGAGAGGAATTCTAAAACAAAACAGCAAATGGACGAGAACGGACGGGAACGGACGAGGAAGAAGAGCGGGTACAGACGGGTTCTAGTGGAAATGGATCAGAAGATGTGCCGGTTGAGAAAAAGCTACGTGTCTATGTTAGAAAACGAGTTGTTTTCAAGCCGACCGCACCCAGGAAACGAAATCCACCCAGGACAGGAAATCCAGAGAAATCCATATATGGACGCCAATATGTGA